CAGCAGGAAAACAGCAGTGAAGCACACTTTCCATCAGTCAGTGAGCTGACTCACACTTTCTGCCTGCTTTCAATCAGGGCACGTATGCAGTGATCGACTTGCAAAATTAAGTTCTCAAGACTCCAGTTTGTGTTCCTCCCTCCTAGCAGGAGCGAGCTGGCATCATCTGGCTTGTTCTCTCAGTCTTTGCAGCTGCTTCAAATGTAACACAGGGTTTTTTTTTCCCTTCAGATATTCCCTTAGGATGGACTTTAGGGAAATGACAGCATGTCCCACCCTTCTGGGGTTCAGCTAACCTTCGGCAGCACACATCAGGGTGGAGGGATAACGTTATCCATCTAAGCAAGATCAGATACTATCAGTCACATCCAAATGATGAGGTTTTTTGAGCAGGAGGATGGAATTCAGAGATTGGGGAAGGTATCAGAGATTGGTGAAGGTACCAATTCAGAGATTGGGGAAGGTACCAGAGATTGGGGAAGGTACTATCCCTGGAAGGTACCAGGGAAAAAAAAACCCAAACTGTTCTTAGTTTCACAAGTTACATAAATAGTTACACAAATTTTTTTCTTTTATTGTGTATTTTCACTTAGGTACAAACTAAATGGGAGTAGTTTCATCCACTGTCAGCTTAAAGGAAACAATGTTGAATGGAGTAAACTTCCAACTTGTGAATGTAAGAGTAATCCAAATTTACCTTTGACTTCACTCCAGTGGATCCTGCATACTAATGCCTAGCCTAAACCTATCTCTGTACTTTGTTTTTCTTGATATTATCTGGCAGATCATCACCAACACTGCAGCTGAGAAATACCCATTTTGCACTGTATTCCAGCAGTTTTGTTCTCATAAGATCAATATATTTACTCATGACTTAAGGTCACAACGCAGATGATGGGATGAGGTTTCTAGGAATCACAGGGCGTGACAAGTTGCCTGTTTATTTTTGTGACACTTGGAGAAAGACAGGACAACAGAAACACTCCAGAAACCAAAAGGAGATGATCTAGACAGAGGGCAGTGCTAGTTGCACATCCTCAGTTGTCCAAAAAGTCTATTCTCTTCAAGAATCTTAGCCAGACTCCAGAGATATTTTGTATTTTCCTTATTTCTGAAGCTTTTAGCAATACTCATGTTGACCTTCTTTCTTGCAGTAATTACCTGCTCTTCACCTCCTCAAATTACCAATGGCAAGCATGATGGCGAAGGTGTAGAGATATTTGTGTATAACTCAATGGTGACTTACAGCTGTGACTCCAGCTTCCAGCTCCTTGGAAACGTGAGCATCCGTTGTACGAGTACGGACAAAACCAAGGGAGTGTGGAGCGGAGCTGCGCCCAAATGCAAAGGTGGTTTCATCTGAGTTTAGTATTTAATTACGAGCTCAGGATTTAGTATGTTCCAGTTTCACATGCTGCGATGGCTTCGTACAGGCCATGTCTGGTGTAAGTCATATTGCAGTTTTAAAGAGAAAACCACAGTGCTGCTAAAGTGCCTCAGGAATGAGCGGTCCATGCAGGAAAGGCGTCGCGCTCCTGTAAGCAACATTTCTTCTTTATACCCTAGAGAAAAGCACATCTGTCAAACTTGGAGTGAGAGAAATGGAAAGGAGTCCTCCTCCTGCTCCCCAAAGTGAGTTGAAATGATTCTACATTCAGTCCCACATTTCCCAACTTAATTTGCTCTTTCCTCATCTTTCTATGAAAAAGCCATTGGGTGGATTTCACAACATGATTTTCTTTCCTTTCAGATTCCCGTGGAAATGGCATCCAGCAGTCTAAGAAAGCTTTCACATGGGAAATGAAGCTCAGCCTTTATAAAAAGTCACTCCAAAATACCATCTCCTTCTCCCGTTCTTCTTTCCCCAGGACACCAGGTCAGTCTGGAGGCTCATTTGGAGTTCAGGGGACCTCATCAATGGGACTCCCTGGGTACTCCCAGTCCTATACCTGGAGTTTGCATTTTTTCACCTGTTTCTCTTCAGCTTCCAGGAGCTGTGCTACCTCAGCGTTCAGATTTGTTGTACCTTTGTACAAAACCCCAAACTACTATTCTCCTGGGATCAGCCAAGGATCCGTGTGTCTTCCAAAGTACATGGGGATCTCTGGCATCCTCCCCCAAGCTGGCTGCTTTGAAAACTTAAAATGGTCTAAAGTTGCATCATTTTGTGGAAGTGAGTGATTTTTTTTCTGTTGTGTTCTTTGTTTTCTCTGCATGATTTGTATTTTTTGCTGGTTGGGCATCTGGTTCAAAGCTTGGGTTTGACTGCACTGACCTCCTCCTCTTAAGAAAGCTTTGTTCTATATGAAATGTAGTTTCATCTGTCAATTGTTTTCTTGCCCTCATGTTATTAGAGATTATTTAACCTTTTTTATATATATATATTGAAAAGCAACAGATAACTTTATACCATGTAGCTTTAAGCATGCTGGGGCTTCTGTTCTCGTTCCAACAACCAGAGGCAATGCACTGACACTAACCTTGTTCCACACTAGCGAGGTCGTGGGCAGCCAGGAGAAGCTGGACGTGGCAGAAGTGCTGCTACAACAGATTTCCCATCCGTTGCAAAGGTTTATTTTACCCATAACAAGGGTGAGTGTCAGCTGTGTTGGAAATGGTGTCTGGGTGGGAATTATAAGCACGTAATTTTAAGTAATAAAGACAAAACAATCACTGGAGGGTCTCGCTACTCAAGTGGAGACTGGATGAAAAGCATTTCTCTGGTGTCAGGGTCAAGCTGAACTTGCCCATCCCTGAGCCATGTCTCCTGGGTTAGAATCAGAAAATGCCACCCCTGTTGTGGTGGGTTTTGTGTGTGAACTCACACAGCCCAGGGCTTTTTCACAAATGTGATGAGGCTGGTGGTTAAGCCCAGGTCCAGAAATGCCCCCGTGGTGGGTGCAGCGTGGCCAGGAGGGATTTTCCCCAGTGCTGAGTCATTTCTCAAAGGTGGGGTCTTTAAAACAAAGAATAAGCTAGATCAGGTCTGTCCCATGTGCACATACAAAATGCATTTTTTTAATCATTATATGTTTTAATGTTCCAAGAAATTGATTGACAATTTTGCAAGAGCTGGCTGATTCTCAGAGTTGCTTCTCCCATCTGAGTTTTTCTCTCTTTCAGTAATTTCCTCCGAACATCCCGAATCCAGTTACAATTCCCTACTGATCTGCCCAGCATTTTTCAGGCTGGGGCTGGGGAGTTGCAGTTTCTCAGGAACACCTCAGGCCCTCTGCATTCAGAATTTCTGAAGAAGTTGAGTTATGTCACAACCCATTTGACTCGGTGTTTCCACAACCACGTATTTCCTTGCTCGTTAGCAACACCAACCTGCTGCCATAACAATCACCGTAAACACACAGGACAGGCTGGAAAAGACCCAAATCTCTCTGCTGGGCTGAGCTACTCCCTGAACTTACCAGGAATTTCTGGCTGTATCCTGGTCTGGTTGCAGATACACCCATGTGAGCTGTCAGCGGGGTTGTGCTGAAAGCAAAATACTGGCTTCTCAGTATTCCAAAATGATGAGTTCATTTATTTTAGTGAATTATAATACATTACCCACTAAACTGAACATTGATCTTTATATCTTCAGCACTTTCTTTAGCAAAAGCTCTTTTTGTATCAGACATAAGCTCTTTGCAGTTTATATTTTTGTTCAGACTACATGAAAGAAAACAGCCACGAGTGGTCCCTGTAGCTGTTCATCTCATCTCCTAAAGGAATTCCATCTGCTTCCCAAAGGGAGGAAGGCAGTTCTGTATCTCTGCAGCCTGTGAGCACATCGACTCCACACAGACACAGAGAAGTCACTGCTAAATACACTGGCCGGTATCATCACACCGCGATGGGGAAACTGGAAACATCAGGTTTATGTTGTTAGCTGCTTACCATCTTTACACTATACAGAATATTAATTGCCCTGTAATTAATTCTGTATTAATATACAGAATATTAGATGCCTTTCTGGGGTTTTATTTGCATTTAGTAATAAATGGTAATTGTTTCTAAAGGATAACCTGTGAATTCAACTGCCTGCTGTTCCCTTCTCATATTTCATGCTCTTTTTAAGAAGGTACCAGCTTTTAGAGCTATCTTGACAATGGTCAGATTTGCTGTTCAATCAGCTCTTTATCAGCACTCTTATTTATTGTCTAAATGGCCTCCTATGTTTTTAAACAACAACCCAAAAAAAAAAAAAGGAAAGAAAGAAAGAAAACCCATGCAGTGATGTTTGGGAATGTGAGTGTTTCTAGTAAGTGGTCTGAAAAAGAAAGCTGGAGCAAGGCATACCCGCCCTTAATTACATTAATTACATTCATTATACTAATTACAGCTCCTATTTAGCCATCCCAGTTCCCAGCTTCCCCCAAGACTAGGCAGACCCCAGGGGTCATGCCCAGAAAGGCTTTGGGATTGCTGGGTGACATCCTGGGCTGCTGCCCTGCATGGGGATGGCTGGAGCAGGCAGGCATCCAAGGGTGGTTCTCTGTGGAAAGCCAAGAGCAACTCCAGCAGCTCAACCCCTGTTTTTTCTGTCTGGTTTTACTGGAAACTTCATGTTGTTCCAGTGGGAGCCTGGCAGTGCAGGTGCACGGAGCCGCAGCTCTGCCATCACCATCTGCTCAGGCTGATTTCTGCCGCTCGGGGAAGGGATGTTGGAGCAAGATAAAGGCAGCGGGCACAGACCCGCTATCGCAGGGCTCAGCTGCTGCAGGTTTGGGTGCTCCAGTGGTTAGTGGGGCAAAATGGGAGAGCAAACGTGGGTGGCAGAGAGGCAGAGGGATGGGGCTGGGCTGAGCATGATGGTCTCGGCTGGTACTGATGTCTCCAGCGTGGCCTCGGGTAGGAAAGCGGCCGGGCTGGGGGCGTTAATCTGAACAAGGGGGATGTCACTGAGTTTCAACAACAGCAGCTGGTTCTTCTGATGTAGGTGTGAACCGAGCTGCTGCCCGAGGAGACTCCACAGTATGAGAAGTCTTTGCCAAATACTTCTCAGCATCTCCCCATCCCACGCTGAGGTCCGAGCTGTAAGACATTACAAGAGAATTCCCCGGAATTCAAAGCATTTTTTTTCCTGTTAGCAACTTCCTTTTGCATTTGCAGCCACTGTCCCAGTTCAGACCTCAGGTGACCAGTGACCTGTAAAAATATGTGGCCAAGACATCACCAGGTAATTTGTCAACATGTTCACAAGTATTTTAAAAGAACTATATTATCCAAACTGCTTGACTTCTCTCTTAAGGAAACACCTCTTGGCTTCATTGCAAATGCTTTTGTTACATATTCTCGGAGCTTAAATTGTGTTGGAAAGGGAAATAAAGTAGAGGGGGAAAAAAGAAAAAGTAAAAAAGGTACTTTTGAGCTTCTCAGTGGCAACATCACTGTTTCCTGGATAGTGAAGGCAGGAGGGAGCAGGAAGGCAGAAAAACCCCTTTATGGAGATCTATTTCTGGGGACGGGCAGGTGACATTTGGGGGGTCTGGTGACACTGAGCTGTGCTGTGCTGCACTCCCTGGGCCAGACGCTGTTGGAGAGGGCAGGAGGCAGCCAGCCAGCCGATGAAGATGCAGCTCTTGTCCCCACATTCAGCAAAGCCAGTGTTGGGGGACGAATGGGACCTTCTGCACCCCTCCCAGCTTTGGGACATGCTGTGGGGTCACGGTGGAGCTGGCAAGACCCACGCACTGTCCTTTTTGTTTCTTTTTTCTTTTCCTTTGGGACTGGAGAGCTTTGGAGAGAGGGAGTGCCGTGTCTGGGAGCTGCAGGGAAAGGATGTGAAGGAGCAGATGTCCCCAGAGCCCCGCTGCATTCCTGGGGTGCCCAGCGAGCCTCGTGGA